AGTGGGAGAACTTGCACAATTGGTGGCTGACTAAATACTTTTTTGCCCCACTGTAGGGCTGACCATGTGTTGAGTTCCTGAATGCAATGTTATTTGTGTTATATTATTAGGAGCACACTGTGTGTGTCATTGGAGCAAGCGGCAATATTGGCTCGAAGTCATGGACTCTTGCCCAAGTGTATTATGCAGGCAACAGACATAATGAGAAAGCAAGTGAGTATTAATGAAGCATTTGATAAATAATATTAGCAACCATAAATTTCCAAATGGGACAATGAATATGCAACTAACAGAAGATGTTACTTGTAGTATGAGCTGCTCAGGATTTTTATATGCAGGGTATCCTCATCATTTAATGATACAAAAGGTAATAAAAATGATATGCTTATGATAAATACTCAGGAACCTATAAATCGTATACTTTAAACAAGATAGAGAAGCTTTGCATCCCCAGATGTTAGCAAATTACAGTTTTGAGCATCTTTCATCACTGGCCATGCTAATAGGGATTGTGGGAAGCTGTAGGGAAGCAACATCTGAAAAGCCACATGTTGCCCATCCTTGGTTTAAAGGGAGAAGTGCAGTCTGTGCCGAATGCACATATCCTCATGCACGCTCTCAGGATACTTGTCAGCATCCTGTTGTGTTGTGACACTCTCACTGTGTTGGGCAGTAGCATCTGCAAAACACATACTGAAGTCTTTCATCTTAAACAAGCACAGAAGGCTACTCGACCACCCCCCTCTTCTACAAAGCTGCTTTATGGCTATGTATAGATTTTCAGATAAAAATAATATATTTCTGCTTTGGCATTCCCTCCAGGGTTGCAGTGTTTTACTAGTACTGCCAAAGTAACTATTCTTGTCTGTTTTTCTTTAGGGGCCAAGGGTTGAAATCTCTGCAAAAAATCTGAAAGTGATGGATCAGATGCCACAATCTGCACCCCGGTAGGTAGCTATGTTCAGCTATGACTTTTCTTGTGGAACTATCATCTGAGCATGCACACATGTAAACGTACATATTTATCCAGTTAACTTTGTGCTATCATTAATTGCAGCAGTTTCAAAGCTATTCCTCAAGGCATATGATGTTATTCCCCCTAACCCTTTGGGGTTATAATGACTTCAAATTATCAAGGCGTGATCAGCTGCCTGAAGAGTGTTGAGAGACAAGGCTCTGGGCTGCATGAAGAGATTAAATAACCTAATAATTAAAATGATTGATATCAAAGATGTAAGATATAAGATATAACACCAGGATTAACACCAGACAAACAATCAAGTAGTAAACAATACCCTAATTAAGGAACTACCAAGGAGGAAACAACTCCCCCACCAACACTGACAGGGCAAGCTACTGTATATAAACAGAGAGCAAACCACACTCCTTTCTAGCACTGAAGATGTTACCTAACCAGGTAATGAAATGTCTGCAAGAAAGCAACCAAGCTCAGAGAACCCCAAGGACTCCAAAGATATACGCAACAAGCATGAATACTTAGTGCTTTCAAAAAATGGCAAAGGGAGATTTTAACAAATTATCCTGTAGAGCTTTTTAGTCCAGGGAGACCTAAAGGAAGGAAGCCTCTCTGGATCTGATGTTCTCAGTGACCCTGAACACATAGCACCTGAGCTGAGGGTCTGATGATGCAGAATGGACCTATTTCTCTAGCTTTCCTGTCTGTAAGAATAACTAGCAGTCAATCTTTATTATTACAACCACAGACTGAAATAATAGTACAATAGCATGAAATGAGAAGTCAGAATATGTTGCACACCATTTATCCCTTTTAAAACAGGTAGAATTCTAAGTGGAAATCAAGAACAAGGACAAAGAAAAGGAACGTTGAATATGATTCTATTGAGTAAACACTGAGCTATTGTGGAATAAAAGGATGTTAGCTGGCAGTCAGCTGGTGATGGCAAATTCTAAAGCTGCTCCAGCAAATTTGACTACACTTGCAGTTATTCTTTGAGCTTCATCAGACCCAACGGGGAAAGTTTGAATGTGGCACTTCATGTATCTGTGCAGAAAAGGCAGTATGAGAGGTCATGGACCAAAGTTTCCAATACTCCACACAGGCAGATTATTGGATTATAAGTGGTCTTCATACATTTGCCCTCTAGGGCCATTGAGAGTAAAACATTGAAATGCAGCAGTATATAGGTTCTGAAATATTAGAAATTGAAAACTGAGAGCTTCCAGAAGAGTCATAGATGTCTTTGCGAAAAGCGGAGATGATGACGGCGGTGAAGAACAAGGGACCGGCAAGTAAACCGGTCCTTTGGAACCTCTCTGGAGAAAGAGGGGACAGGAGATCGCTCATAAGTGCTCCGAATAGCAGCTCCTCAGGAAGGGATCGTAGAACAACAGCCCCCCAACAGGACTGAGCACCAGGAGATGAAGAAGACGATATCTTGATCTCAGCTGCAGCAGACCCTTTAAAAAGGACACTAAGCCAGCTACACTCACTTTCTAATCACCTTTGGAAATGATCTATTTAACTATCTCATGGATATTAGAGACCTTCAAAAGCTGAGTTTAATTTGACACCTGGTGACTTTTACCTTCTTTCTTTGATAGAAGGAATTTTAAATAGAGACTTAAAAGTTTAAAAACAATATATAATTGGCAAAAAGCAAAAAAAAATTTTTTTTGTTTTGTTTTAAGAAAGTTATAAACAGAGTAGGAGACAAGAGGAATTTGGAACATGTGTACTTTTGCTGTGAGATTTGAAAAACAAGTATATAATTAAATAATACACCCGTGGAAAATGACTGAAATGGAACTAAATCCACATTAGGAACTGAGATTCTTTGAATGTTGCATATGGACACTAGAGGGGACTGAAGGACCAGACAGGGGAAAAAGGGAAAAGTGCATCTATTAATGTTTAAACTAAAGTTTTAAAATGGCCAATCCTGGTATAACTTTTGAGTTACTTAAAGAGTTCTTTGAAAAATGGACTGAGATATTAATAACTAATATTGTAGAAAACATGCAGGTTCCAATGTTTAAACTTTTAGAAGATGTTAAGGGAGATTTTAAAAAGCAACTTATACTTGACACAGATATGATAGAACCTGTAAGTATGGAATATAATGAAACTGAAAAGATTACTAAAATGGAAATACAAAAGACAAATCAAGAAAATGACTTGGACAAGGAGCAGTTGCAACAAGAAATCCTGGACAGTGCCTCTTTACTGGATTTACAAAGGAGCTTGGTAAAGGATTTGAAGAATCATTTGGAATGCCAGAGATGGATGAAAGATCAAATCCTGCAACACCACTGGAACGAATTAAAGGCCAAGATTGTGAAGCGCAAAAGGAAGGAGTATAAAGTTGGACTATCTGATCAGGGATAAATGATCTGTTTGATATTTCTGGTAACTTCTAATGGACTTTTTGCTGAACCAGGCCTGAAAAGATGAAGGTTTCTGGATTGCGTATAGATATGAGTTAGGTTATGGGAAGAAGAGTTTTTTGTTTGTAATTTTAAAACAGGATGAAGAGTTATTATGTTAGCTTGTGCTTGGTGTGATGAAGGTTGGAAGCCCCTATTGTCTTTGTTTATTTTTCCTTTTTTCCTTTTTTCTTTTCACTCTTTTCTTTTTTCTTTCTTTCTTTCTCTTGCACTTTAAAAACTTTTTTTTACTTTTATTTAATCTTTTAGTTCAGTTTGTATTTGTTTTTGCTATGTCTATTAAAAACTTCAATACAGTTATTACAAAAAAAAAATTGCAAACTGTTTTAAGTACACCATGATAACTACCAACAGTATTGTCATTCTGAAGATGCTGAGAACTCCTCTCTCTTCGGTATTTTGTCTGAATTTTCAATATACTTTACAGGCCATTTTTGCTATTATCTGTCAGCAAGTCATAGCAGACATTGGCCATATCTCAAAGACAGAGCAGTATTTTGCATGCAAAATATAGTTGAAATAAGAAAGATTTTCTCCTAGCTTCTAGGCAGCTGCTAAAGCAGATAGTAGAAGACAAAATGGACCAACTGTTTCTTCGCCATGAATTAGTTTTTCATGTTCATATCATGAAGCATTCCAGAGGGAAAAGGGGATTCAAAGGAATCATGACATTCCATAGGTGAATTACAGTTTGCTTTGAATCACCTATGCCTTGGAAGGAGGTAATTTAACGTACACCTGTCCCAAATAGATAAGACCTGGCTTTTCTGCCAGGCATTTGGGGCCACTTGAGTGGAGTCCCCTTTTGATTGTTTTTATTATGGTGCTGGTCGCCGTTTTATATTCTGTATTTTAAGTGCATATTTATATATTGTGTATGTTTTAAAGTTATGTGGTCCTTTTTGGGTTTATGGTTAGTTTTTTGTTGTTGTACACCACCCAGAGTCACGTTGTTGAGTTGCACAGCCTTATAAATCAAGTAATAAATAAAATAAATAAAAAATAAATAGATTGCCTCCAGATATAATAGACTGCATCCTAACTCCTCACCAGCATGGCTAAAGGCATGAAAATTATGCAGGATCTAGAGGGAAAGACCCTGGGTATGGCTGCTTTAAAAGAATTTGATTTATTTCACTCTGCCACATTATCCTTAAGGTTCTTTTTGTAACACCACCTTATATGTCACATTTTTTTACAGAATCTACAAGTTGTGTCAACCGCCTGCAGATGGAGATTTGTAAGAGGAAAGGAAACACGTTATCTTGGAGTCGCAGAAGTGTTTAGCAGAGAGCAGTTCTGCCTGAGTACTGTCTTATGTCAGTGGTGCTGAGTCCAGAAGACAGAGGAGGGTCCTGGATTCTATTCTTTTAGGTAGTCCAGTGCACTAAGGACTTCTCTTTCTCCTTCCCTCCTGCCAAATTACGGGGGCAGGCCTGCTTACTCTTTCTGGGCTTGATGCAGAAGTTCTCAAAATTCTCCAGAATGTGGATGGAAGAATCACCTTTCTCAGGTTGCCTGATGTGGAACGTTGTGGATTCTGAATTTTGGATGGGCACGGAAGATAGAAGGTGAAGCAAACCCACCTGCCATGGTGTTTGGACTACCACAGATTTTCTAGCAAAGTGTTGGCCAGTTGCCTTGAATAAGAGTTTCACAAACATTCACTTTTTTAAACAAGAAAATGTACACTCACTTGCACTTTGAAATTTCAAATAGCACACATCCCTCTGGTTTGTTCAAAGAATTTTTCACTTCATACTAATATAAACCAAACCCTATAGAGTACACATTCCATGAGACTTTCTACAAGAAATTCCTTTTAACTTTTACTGTAAAGTTCAGGATTTGCAGTTAACACATTTAAGAAAAACAAAAACAAAAAACTAATGGTCCATTATGTATTCTGGAAATACAGTTATATTTTACCAGTGAGATTAACAATGAAGGATTTTTTTTAAAAAAAAGTTGATACAAAAGGGGAAGCAAACAGAGCTCTTTGCTTCAATAATTTAAACCTATAAAGGTTTTTAAAACAAGGACAGAAATATACTTATTTATGTGGAATAGATGATCTGTTTTGGAATATGTTACTATATATGCAAGATTTAAATAAAAAAAGTATTGTTTCAAAGGGGCCAATATACTGGTAGATATGTAGTAGTTCACTGAAAATATTGTTATGATATTTAAAACTTTTCAGTATTTAAGTAGACTTTAATCTTTTTTTCTTTTTAAAAATAGAATATAAGTAGGTTGTAATTTAAAACAAAAAATTGGTTGTGTACATAATGTACTTCATTTTTCCCAATTTTAGACATTTTTCGGTTTGATCAGGATGATTACTAGCATGGTGATTTACTTTTAAATTACCATCTGCAATGTAATTTTTTTAAAAAAGAGCAATCTCAGGCCAGAAATAACATTCTTGTGGAGCGAGTGCCTTAAATTAATTATCCAAGTTGATCAAGATACTAGAAGAAATTAAGGGGAATAAAACTAATACTCGTCTATATCACTAATAATTTAACACCATAATATGCTGTAAAATGCATATTGCTGGGCATGCATAGAAATTCCTTAAAGTGACTTGTGGTATTTAAGGCATGCAGAAAAGGATTTGGGGCCGAGGGTGGGGGTGGCTTTGAATAGGGCATTTAATAAACTCCAGTGTTTGTTAATAATCAAAACCTTCATTTTTGTGTGTACACTGAAAATGGTTCCTCTACTTCTACTCTTGACGAGGAAGTTGATCAGAGGAGGAAACATGCAGTGATATCTGAATCTATTTGAGATTCTAGTTAAAGTACAATTTCATTTCTGACTAGTACATAAGACTATCATTTATTCATATTAGAATAAATAAGACTGTCATATGGATACATGGCCAGCAGATGGCAGCTTTAGGCTTCCTGGTGAAAACTAGTGTACTACCATAAGAAATTGGATTAAGAAAAAAATCCAAAATCCTTAGCTGAAAAATGCCTTTAATTGTTGCTTTTAATAAGCTACTGAATGGAACTCATCTAAAGTTAGTAAAATTCTCTAGAAGATTTGCCCGGCAGACTGAGGTAGTCATTTTGTTTCATGCCACTTGGATGCTACAACTGAAATATAGCAGTTTATTCTCCCCGTTATATACGGTAACATATGGTGAGCATCCAAATGTAGGCTAATTTAAAACAGTTCAGCCAGGGGAGGCTAATATTTTACATGGGACTTTCTCAGCAAATTGCATTTAGGTGCACAATCGTGAAGGTGGCTGTCTGTGCATGACTGCCGAGCTAGGGAAAATTAGATTTGAATCTAAAGCCTTGCATCAGCCTTCTGCATGTCCCAACATTTATTAATCTGCCTTATGCCCTTCAATTTCACTGAGACCACTGTGAAGTTTGGTTCATGCAACCAATATTGGAGCCTAATTATAATGTCAAGAATTTTGTTGTTGCTCTTGCCTCCTACATACCCCATTGAATGTAAAGATGATGTACCATGGATTTAGATGCCGGAGTAATGTACAGTCATGAAAGGCCTTATGGGATAGTCGCAGAAGTAAGTTAAGGCTTCCTTTTGAAGGGACCGGTCACTTGCTGTTTGCATAATTCATTGTTTCATTTTCAAGTGTACACATTTTCTACTGTTGAGGATATTGCACATACTGTACAGTGGCAAGTGAGAATTCACTAAGTGAACCAGGAAGGCTGCAGTCTGTGTTCACAAGCATTGTCCAGTGCACAGAAGTGAACATATAGAGGGGAGAATAGAACTATTCCTGCATCTCTTGCCCACAACATTTGCACATTTGGAGAATGTCTGTAAAGTGGAACCAGTGTACATATATTGGCATTGAAGGGGTCACAAGGCATCGGGATAAGTTCAGTAGAAGACCAAGAGTGCAGTATCTGCTAATATTACTGCAGAGAGTAAGGTGTAGAGCTGTTTTTGTTACTCCAGCTGAACTCACTACCATGTCCTAAATGCAGTCTTCTACATCTTGGTGTTCTCCAGATACATTGGGTGTTAGCTGGGTGTCTACCCTTAGCTAGAGTAGCCATTGCCTAAATGCTTTGTACACTGTTGCTTTGAAGGCAGTTAGACTTGGGTGGGATAGTAAGATCCAGGTGAGATTCTCCTATGCAATTACCCTAAACATCCATTGCATGTTTTCCCTGGTCTCCTCTCTTACAAGCCTGCAACTGACATTTCCCTCATCACAGCACTGAAACTAGCTCCTGGAAGCTCCCTTACCCTTCATACATTTCTGTCACACCCAGTAAAGGAGCAATCACTTTTCTTTAGAATAAATTGTATGGAGTCTTTCTGAAAACATTGGCTTTGCCAATCTGGGAAAGTAACAGATCATATTTTTATAGCAATGTGTAACTGGCATTTTCAGATGTACTGTATGTATATAAAAAGTACACTGTCGTTGTGAAGTCAACTCCAGTAGCTTTCTTTGATTTTTCCTTGCTGTATTGCTAATGGTATGTATATGTGTATGTGTCTTATGATAAGATAAATGAGTTAATACATTTGATGGCTAACCTATTTTGTTCCATTCATTGCTGATCCATCTAGTTGTCTTGCAGTTTCTATAGGTGCTGGTTTGCTCACCTCCCATATGGGTTACTCTCATCCTAACTCAACGGAAAATTGATGAATCAAGGTTTGTTTTTGTTTTTTTTAATTGGTCTCTCAAGCAGATATTCGTCTGTTATGAAATGATAGTCCCCACAGAGAAGTCCATTTTAAAATTATGCTTTTTTAATGTTGCCATTCCCTTGTTTTATAAGCATGATAGGAGAAAATTCTAATTCCTCTCTGTTCTGCCAAACCTCTCAGGTCCTCCAAGTGGGAAAATATATATTGTTGCGGGGCGGGGGGGGGGGTAGCGAGTAAAAATTCGTTTGGGAGGTCTCAACAAAAAGTATCAGTAGTTGAACACAGACCTGATGCATTAAATATCAGCTGTGTTTCATTATCTCAGAGGCTCCTTAATGTCATAATGAAGAGAATGTTATGGAAAATTTGGCATTTGATTCAGACATTACGTTACTGAGAGTTTGGGTTTCATTTTCAATGACCTTTCCCATTAAATTTGCAAATATCTTTATTGAAAACTGCTGGAGAGCTTCGTCCAAAAAAGAATTCAGCCAATTATTCAGACCAAGGTCTCAGAAGTCTACATGAAAATGTAGCATGTGATGTCATTCCTGTCTATTTCAATGAAAATATCTAAGCATGGATATAAGCTTCAACTCACCTAATCAAGATGCACAGCTGAGTCTTGATTGGATTTGCACAACATCCTAGGCTAGGCTGAAAAGCTGGGTACTTTGTGATTCAATGTGATGTGAAAACCCAGCCTGTTTAAGCATGCTGAGTTAAGTAGCCTATTGTGTTAAGTCATAATAGGACTGTGCAAAACGAAATGTTCTGGAAATGGGACATTCCTGAGAATTCAGGAATGTTCCGTCCCTCCTTCAGACCTTGCCAAGCCAGCTGTGATGTTCTAGATGTAGTTTTCCGAACAAAACAGCTTTGTTTGGGGACTTAGACCATGCCCAGAACATCACAAACTACTTCTAATTTGAAGGATTGATGTTGGCATATTGCTGGATCGCCCCAGAATAGCTGTCTCAGTGTGACCCGAAGGAGGAGTGGATTGGTAGGTTTTGCACATACCTAAGCTGTAATATGGTTCAGTTTGTTGGATATAGCATGTAATGTGAACCCAGCAGCGTTATCACAGAGATAACGCAAATTTTTCTTATACTTAAAATTACAAAACAGCTAGCATTGCTGAGACTGGATAAAATGAAAACATCTAAATGAATAATTGCAGCTTCTACTGCAGACAATGTAGTTCTAGATTAGGCATTTATTTTAATGCTAAGTTTAGTGTGTATGTATGGGAGACAAGACTCATATTGCACTGATCTATAGTTTGCTTAATCATAGCTACTTGAATAAGCCACAAATGGCTGATTCATAATATATTCAAAGCCCAAAGCATTTCTTTATCACATTTATACCCTGCCGTGATCATATACAGACTCTCAATGGCTCACAACCTAAAAAACAATAAGAATAATATGGCTGGTATGGGTCTTCCAGGCTGTGTGGCCGTGTTCTGGAAGTTTTGTTTCCTAACGTTTCACCAGCATCTGTGAC